TTTTTGTCGCAGCGACTCTTTAGGCTTTAAATCATAAATTGCTCTTATGGCCCTCTTCTGTAAAACAAATATAATTTCAGTGTCAGCTGCTTGTCCCCATAGCAAAATACCATACGAAATTATACTATGGAAATAGCTAAAGTAAACTAGTCTAGCTGTTTCAACACTGGTTAGACTTCTAATCTTTTTTACAGCATATGCTGCAGAACTAAGTCTGCTTGCTAGTTTTGATATATGGGGGCTCCATTGAAGCTTCGCGTCTAGTGTGATTCCAAGAAAAATGGTGGTATCTACAAGACTCAGTTTCTCCCCATTTAAAATTACATTAGTATTTAATTGTTTGACATTTGGAGTCAAATTTCATACATTTCGTTTTAGTGCCATTTAATTTTTGCAAATTATTAACATTGAACCAATTTACTAATTTAGATATAGCATTATTTACTTCGTCATATTTTAGCAATTGTCGACTTAATTTGAAAATTAAAGAAGTGTCATCTGCAAATAATACTATATCATGGTTATCTCCTACTATGTAAGGTAAGTCATTAATGTATACAAGAAACAGAAAGAGGCCGAGAATTGAGCCTTGAGGCACGCCCATTTGTACCATCGACCCGGAAGAACTCATACCGTTAATGACAACTTTTTGCGTTCTCTTACTTAAATATGAAATAATTAATTTAAAAGCATCACTTCTTACACCGTAGTGTTGAAGTTTCCTGATTAATGTTTCATGGTGAACACAATCGAAGGCTTTGGATAGGTCACAAAATATACCCAAAGTATCCTGTGAATTCTCCCATGCATTAAAGATATATTTAATCAGCTCAACACCGGCATCAGTTGTCGAGCGACCCCTTGTGAAACCAAATTGATTTTTATGAAGTAAATTATTTATATTAAAGAAATTTAACATTTGATCTAGAATAATTTTTTCAAAAATCTTACTAAGTGTTGGTAGTACAGAAATAGGTCTAAAATTGGCGGGGTCTAATGTACTACCAGATTTAATTAAATATTAATATAAAATATATATTAGATAAAATTAAAGGTATTACTTTACCATACTTGATTAAATCAGGAAACACACCAGATTCGATACTAGTATTAAAAATAATAGCTAAATGAGGCGCGATTGTATCTATTATAGACGCAATAACTTTAACGGAAATCTCCCACAGATCCGCAGTTTTAAAATATTTTACAATATCTTTTGATGATACTTTATGAAATGCAAAATTCTTTGTACACGCATTTACATTTTGTTTAAGTAATGATTCGGCGACCGCAGGAGAAGAATTCAGTGACTTAGTGGTTAATATCGGAATATCAGTAAGATATTTCTCGAAAACCATTGCAACGTCCTGATCTGATTCGGTTAATTTGTTACTAACACTTAACTGGTAGTTTGAATTGCGAGAGTGGATCTTACCAGTTTCGCTGTTAATTATACTCCATGTCATTTTAATTTTATTAGAAGCCGTCTTAATTTTGTTGCTCAAATGCAAAGACTTGGCTGTGGAGCACACTTTTTTAAATATTTTTGAATATTTTTTCACATATTCCCTAAATTCGACGCTATGATTATATGACCTTTCATGGTAAAGATCATATAACCTATGTCTGCTCCTATGGACTCCTACTGTCGCCCATTCATTAAATGACTTCCGACTGTTCAAGGAGAATATTTTAGAAGTAAAAGTATTATTAAATTCATTGCAAATAAGCTTAAATAATGTTCCATACAAAAAATTTGGATCATTTTGGTATGAAAGTGATGGAAGTTTTTTCACTATGTTACTTCTAAATTTCTCCAAGCGACGTGCATTTACTGGAACAAACACAACTTTCTCATCTTTATCTCATCTCATTTTAAACAGTGGTAGAGCCACGCGGCAGCTTTTTCTGTCGCACGGATGGGCCGGCTCGAACCGGGGTAGTACCACGACCTCACAGAAAACCAGCGTGAAGTAGAGGTTTACCTCTGCGTTTCGCTTGGTGAGTGCAGGTGGCCGGAGGCCCTTTGTACTGGAAATGAGGAATTCCATCTTAGTCCTCACGGGTGACAACGCATCTACATTTTGATTTGTAACAGAGGATAGATGTAGATGTCTATGGGCCGCAGCAACCACTTACCATCAGGTGGACTGTGTGCTCGTTTGTCACCCTCATCCTATAAAAAAAATCTACTTGCTTTTTGTGAACATAAGGTAACGAAACTACCTGTCCACAGTGATCAGAACTTAATTTTTTAATTATACATTTATGCAACGGCTTCACATTTGTAAAAATGTTATCTATACATGTTGCACTAGATTGAGCAATACGCCGCGTTGGCTCTAAAAATAAATTAAAAAGACCATATGATTTAAACAATGATCTAAACTTAATATTGATTGAGGAAGCTTCTAGGAGATTGATATTAAAGTCTCCACATATTACAACAGATTTATTGTGTTTATTGAGCTTAGCAAAAACTTCCTCCATAATTTTTTCAAAAGTATCGTATATAGAACATGGGGGTCTGTAGACGCTCACAACAATGCTCTAATGCTCAAACTCAACACATGCCATTTCTACAGTTCGCTCAACAGAGAGGCTCACAATATCTTTACGTTCTTTACATGACAATAATTTACCAGCTAATATTAAGGAACCACCTCTTAAAACAGTTTCTCTATTGAAAGAACTGACCACCTGGTGATTACTGAAGTTAAACATTAAGTTATAAGCTTTTAACCAATGTTCAGTAATACATAAAATATGAATATTGTTGCTATTTAAGGACAATTCAATTTCTAGCTCTTTGCCTATCATGCCTTGTATATTTTGATGCACCAGGTGTAAACAATTTTTGACAATGCGGCAGAGTATACAGACATGGTTTTATTGTATAGCGAATGCCGCCAAAATTCAGTGTTAACTCTGCGTACTTATCTTGAGAGATACGGCGCAACTCGCGTCTGCCCTACTAGCGTCCGGGCAATCATAGGTGCTGTTCAAAGAATCAGAGAAAATCAGCGCATAGTGCCCAACACTCATGAAGGAGTTGCTCCGCGTCACTTTCCACCCTCGTTCGAACAATGAGTCTTAGACCATTTCGATCGGAATCCAAGCTGCAGCCTTAGACAAGCTGGGCGTGTGTTTAGAGTGAGGCATAAAACAATACACCGAGTGTGAAAAGGAACAAACTACGTCCTTATAAATATGTGGCGGCGCTGTCGTCGCGCCACAAGCGAAACACATCGAATCCTAAATCGCACTAACAGTTCCGAAATTAAAGCAGCATATATAGAATAGCTTTGAGCTTCCAGTTGAAGCGTTGTCCGCTCCCCGGGCAGAACACCTTGCCCGCCGGGAGATCTCCCCTTTTCCTTCCACCGGCTACAAATATGTTAAGGTGTAGGCGCTACTGCCCCGTGATAAGCTGATTAGAGAGTCTTCTCTCGTATTTTTTATATATTAAGTCTTTACTTATGAAATTGCCGATTTTTATGAAATAAGTAAACGTAATTTTTTTCTATATTTTGTATTTCTATCGATCAAAGTAATCACCCCCATGCAATCGATGCATATTTGCCAATAGATGCCCTTCTTGAAGAAATCAACTGGACGGCAGGCAACAAATTCTTGAAAGTCATTTTGTACTGCCTCTCGGGTATTGAATTTTTTCCCGCCACAAAGTTATCCAAATTCTGGAAAAAGTAGAAGCCTGTAGGCGCAAGTTCTGGTGAGTACGGCGGACGACGGAGAGCTTTCAACCCCAGTCCTTGTAAGTTGGAGACTGTCTGTTGTGCAGTTTGAGGCCATGTGTTGTAATGCAGGAGCAGCGGGGACGAGCCATTAACCAAAGTTGGTTGGCGACGTGCGAGCTTCTCCATCATTGTGCTTTCTTCACAGTACACATCTACAGTACCTAATCCCCATCCCGTTTGGTAAGAAGCTGTGATGAATCACACCGGCGCTGGACCACCAAACAGTGACCATCACTTTTCTAGGGGTAAGTTTTCGTTTACGGCATTGTTTAGGTGCTGAACCAGGATCCAATCAACTTGCTGAGTGCTTGTGATTGTCAAACAGTATCTATTTTTCGTCCCCGTTAACAACGCGGTTCAAAATTATTACGTTTGCGTGCCTGTTGAGCAGCAGTGCAAGGCACGTCTCGACGCGTACTTCGCGCTGGCGATCATTGAGATCGGGGGGCACCCATTTGTCAAACTTTTTTACTCGCTGCTAATTCAGCCGTAGATTGAGTATCATTAGCTTCCACAATCACGTTTAATTCGTCATTGTCGACCAAAGTTTTCGGACGACCACGGAGTTCATTTTTCAGGTCGAAATTTCCAGAACAGAAGCGGGGAAACCAATTACAGCTGATGCGTTCGTTTGTAGTATTGGCTCCGTATGCGTGGTTAATGTACTCATATTCCATAATTACTCGAATATTTAACGTATCCATAATGACGAAAAAGATTCAAATGCGAAATCAATAAACAAATGACTAATTTTGAAAAAAGATTTCCGTGTTTTTAAAATAAAATTAATTTGAAATGGCCAGCACTGCAGAATGGCTATTTCATAAGTTCACCTATTATATATTTTTTATTATATTTTATTCGGAACAACAACAGCTTTTATGCATTTTACTTATTACAAAAAATTTAATCTACATACATCAGATTTTTCAAACATATTATAGTATTCTGATTTCCATAGCCAGCTGACAAACAAAAAGTGTGTGTGAGAAACAAAATAGAAAGTGACACAAGAAGAAAAAAGGAAGCATGATATTATGTAAATACATGACATATTAAAGAAGAGAGGGCAACATGTAATAAAATTAAAATGACGTGGAGTATAATGAATAGCAAAGCTGGCAAGATGGAACTATACAACTCAGACTTTCTTTTAACAATCATTTAACAACATCCTTCCTTGATTTTTTCTTTGAGAATTGATCCTTCGAGCCGGATATTATTCACACTTGTTTCATACATTTTCGTTGTTCGTCTACACTCACACACACACACGCGCGCACACACACACACACACACACACACACACACACACACTCACACACACGCACGCACGCACACACGCACGCACGCTCGCACGCACGAACAAAATATAAAATATCGAAGTACTTGGTAAGTGATCTCTCGCTGGGCGCTCTGCGTGGGGTCACGCTGATTCTTATTCACGTACGCCTTAACCACCCACTGGTGGCCGAACGCGGAGAAGCGAGACGTCTCGTAGTAGAGCTTGTGCACAAACTCTTCAGTGCGGTACGGCCTGAGCTGTAAATCTGCAACGGCAAATGATATAATAAAAACTGCTTGGTAAAAATTATAGTGAAATTTTACAAGACAATAACACAATAAGTCGCCCCTGAATTGAGAAATGATAATGTCAAACAGTAGACTATTTTTCTTTTAAAAATCATATCGAAGTATTATCCAATAGACTATCTAAATTAATATACATATTCAAAAATGTACGCCATGTGCTAGATAAATCAGCTTTAACACGTATCTACTATGCACTAGCGCAAAGCCTTCTTACTTATTGCATCACCTCCTGGGGCGGTGCTCCTAAAACAGTTATGAAGCGCGTAGAAATATCACAAAGGGCCATTTTAAAAGTTTGCGGGTTCTTCTCTTATAGACATCCAACTGAACTTCTTTATCGATACTGGCAGGTATTAACGGTACGTCAGCAGTTTATTCTCTATACATTGTTGAAGCAACACAGTGAAAATACCTATGATCCCCATAAATTTGTAGGAGTTAGACGTAAAAATACAGTTTGCGCAACATTTGCAACAAAGAAGACATACAAAAAAATTCTTTTGCTACTTGGGTGGATTCTTATACAATAAAATAAATGAAAAATTATCTATATATTCTAACAATAAATATGATTGCATAAAATACGTACATGACTGGTTACTGAAATTAGATTATGATTTAACGGAATCGCTCATATCAAGATAAATATAATGTACACACACACACACACACACACACACACACACACACACACACACACACACACACACACACACACACACACACACACACATACACACACACACACACACACACACATACACACACACACATACACACACACAAACACACACATGCGCGCGCGCGCACATACAATACACTACACTAATATAAATATATAACACCATACATACATACATACATATATGTATTTACACATTTGATATCCTAATACACTCTTAATTAGTATTTTATCCTGGATCTTCGTTGTAATTATATTTCATTACAATATAAGAATAACTTTTTTTATCTATCTATCTATTGTGTTCCTAGAATAATTTCATACAATGTCATAGCATTCGAGGGGTGAGAACCTGGTGACTTGTACTACAGGCTTATATATGCCTACTTCAGGCACCAGCTTCTCACATAATAAAATTCTGTTTATGTACTACTAGATTTACATTGTTTTACTTTATGTTATGTGAGAAGATAAATAAAGACTTTATTATTATTATTTACTAGTTGAAAGTGTGCGTTCACGTGATACGATGACTACGGTGTGACCGTGTGTTAGTCTTGTTAGGCGCACTTTGTGCCTGATGGAGCCTGTGCAGTAAGTTAAATCCTACGTCCGTAAACTTTTGAAATTTTGAGTCTTTTTTTTTGCGGTCGTTACGTATCTATTTTGTTTTTGTACCACAAGGTTTCTTATAGAATTATTTTATAATCTAAATGTTGTCTCTTATTGCACAGACTCAGAATATTTTATTTAATAAAGCTGAAGTGACGAACAAAACAGTCTGCCTGATAGTGATAATTGCAGTCTATCCATTTGCAACTTCAAACAAAAATGGCTATAAATATTTAGTCGTTAGATCTGACAACACGCCAACTAAGGACTAAGATGGAATACCCCCTATATACTCTCCAGACCGGAATACAGCAGTACAGTGCTATTTGGCGGTAGAAATAGTATATTATGATGTTAGTATTAGGTGTAGAATAAGAGAGGCAGTATAGTTAATGTCTTGAACTGAGCAGCACGTGTCCTTTTCATTCAACACCTTCCGACATTACATAGTAAAGAGGGTGGTACCTACCAAGATGGACTCCTAAACAGAAAAGGACTCCTACCACCTACCTAAAAAATATTATTAATATAAAGTATAAATTATTTTATGCAATTTGCGACACTTCTACAAAAGTAATCTAAAACTACCCGCAAAATTTGTCATGCAAATTAAACTGGATAAACCGAGCGTCTGAGCGCTCACCGTTGAAGGTGATCTTCTCGTAGGAGAGCAGGTCCATGATCTGCTCGTAGACGGCGGTGGAGTCGCGCGCTTGTCGCTCGCGGTCGGCCAGCAGCGCCATCAGGTCCGCGGCGGACTTGGCGGGGTGCGCGCACTGCGCCTCGTGCGAGCCCGCCTCGTGCGCCGGCCCGCGCCACGGGCACCCGATGCACGCGTACTTACACCCCGTCAGCCTGTGCACACCCCGTAACTAATAACTCCGGACCTCCTTTGTAAACAATTAAAGTGATAAACTAACTTAAAGTCCACCTGGTGGTAAGCGGCTTTTGTTATCGCATAGGGGCGATAAACGAGGACATAGTCCACCTAATGGTAAGTGGATGCTGTGGCCCAAAGATATTTATAACTATCCTCGTATTCAATGAAAAATCGAAATGCAAATGAATTATTACCCCAAAGGACTAAGATGGAATACCTCGTTTCTAGTAAAAGTTCCCGGTTTTCTACACTTACCATAAGAAACAGCAGCATTAATTTGGTATTTTACGCTGGTATTCTGTAAGTCCCCGGGCAAGGATGAAATGACAGCGGAGCTTTTGAAAGCGAATGGAAAACCGGTACTTGAAGTCCTTCAGAAGCTCTTTAATTCCGTCCTCCATGGTGGCACTACTGCGGAGGCGTGGAGCAGAAATGCGGTGGTCTTGTTCTTCAAGAAAGGCGACAACGCTCTCTTGAAGAACTAAGGACCGATTTCCCTTCTGAGCCGCGTCTACGTGCTGTTTTCTAGAGTCATTACGAATCGTCTCGCACGCAGATTTGACGACTTCCAGCCTCCCGAACAGGCCGGTTTCCGAAAAGGCTTTAGTACCATAAACCACATACACACCCTTCGGCAAATTGTACAGAAGACAGAGGAGTATAATCTGCCACTTTGCCTTGCGTATGTGAACTATGAGAAAGCCTTTGATTCCGGCGAAATTTGGGCGGTGCTGCAGTCCCTTCAGCGGTGCCAAGTTGACTGTCGGTATATCGAAGTGCTGAAGTGTTTGTACAGTAGAGCCACGATGGCTATCCGAGTACAGAATTAGAGTACGAAACCTATACAACTGCAGAGAGGTGTAAGACAGGGTGACGTTATATTCCCGAAACTCTTCACCACTGCATTGGAAGACGTTTTCAAGCTGCTGGACTGGAAAGGATGCGGTATCAACATCAATGGCGAGTACATCACTCACCTTCGATTTGCCGATGATATAGTCCTTATGGCAGAATCGCTGGAGGACCTAAGCACTATGCTCAATGACCTCAATAGTGTCTTCCAACGGATACGTCTTAAGATGAACATGGAAAAAACAAAAATCATGTTTAACGTCCATCCGGTAGTTGTTGGGAGCACTAAGCTCGAAGTTGTTGACGAGTATGTTTACCTGGGACAAATAGTCCGACTAGGTAAGTCCAACTTCTACCGAGAGGTCGATCGACGGATTCAACTCGGTTGGGCAGCGTTCGGGAAACTACGACACATCTTCTCGTTAGACATACCTCAAAACCTTAAAACTAAATTGTACAACCAGTGCGTGTTGCCAGTGATGACTTACGGATCTGAGACGTGGTCCTTCACTGCTGGCCATATGAGGAACCTCAAGGTCGCTCAGCGAGCTATGAAGAGGGCTATGCTCGTGGTTTCTCTGCGTGATTAACTTAGAAATGAGGATATCCACAGTAGAACCAGGGTAACCGACATAGCCCAACGGATTAGTAAGCTGAAGTGGCAGTGAGCCGGCCATATAGCTCGAAGAACCGACAACCGATGGGGAAGAAAGGTTCTCGAGTGGCAGCCTCGTACCGGTAGGCGAATTGTAGGGCGACCCCCCACGAGATGGAGTGACGACCTGTAAGACATGCAGGAAATCGATGGATGCTGGTGGTTCAGGACCTTGTTTTGTAGCATTCCTTGGGGAAGGCCTATGTTCAGCAGTGGACTTATGAAAGGCTGTAATGATAATGATGATGATTCTGTAAGAGCGTGGTCCCTCCTCGGTCAGGCCAACCCATTCATGCTACAACCATAATATATGCAATATACAGTGAACTGAAGCGGGGATTCGGTGTTCATGACAAACAGTCTCTTATATATTTATGTCATAAGTGGCCTCCAAATGTATACGTACCGCCACGCTGGATGCCCTGCCCTCAGGCTTACAAAACTAAGAGTTTGGTTGCCTCATAGTTGTGGTGCAAATAAATCCACTACATCATTTAATTTCATGGGTGTCATTAGAAATTAAACAGGAGATGAGAAGCATTTTCTTGGAATCAACTTAAATAAGAAAAAAAAATACGGTTGCCAGTTTTCTGTTTTCCGTAAACTTTTTTACACAGTCGGCTTTTTTTAATATACTGATTTAACCTTTCGACTTGTTCTCCAAATCTACTACCGTTTCGAAATAAGGTTCTTCTCTAACCGGAGAAGAAACGGCGAAAGGAATTCCGGAGATGTCCTTGTTTTTCTAATTTTTATAGGAGATTAATATGTACAATTCTAAGTTTTTTCAAATCCAGCGACCCGCCTCAGCTTTACAGGGTAGGATCTGTTAATATGGCGTTATTTAAATTTAAGATAATCAAAAGTTATTTATTATATCAATTTTATTGTTTTGTTGTTTTTTGTTTTAAGTTTTTCGAATAAAATAAAAGCCTAGATCACTCGTGACATTGCTCTCTAATTGTTTGTGAAGTTTCTTTACAATCGGTTCAGCTGTTTCAAAGATTAGCCCAAACAGACAGACAGAATTAAAAAAGAAATGGTTATTCATGTCTTAATGTAGTTGCCCAAATTAGGTCTTGGTTTTGTTCTTGCATTTTTGCAAGACCAAGACCAAGGCCGCCTAATTTTAGCAAGACCAAGACCAAGACTGACCGTGCAAGATTTGAGCAAGAACAATACTAAGCCTGCGAGACTCTTGCTTCTTGCAGTTAGGACTGAGTGTCGTTTCAGAAAGTATAGGAGTTCGGGTATACGGTTAGCGACTCTATGAGACGCAAAAAAATATATTAAAAAATTTGGAAAATTGGACTTATGCGCATTACGAACAATACCATAAACATACATAGCGAATGAAAATGTTCATTAAAATAAAAAGAGTGCATCCCTAGTTTTGAACATCAGCACTTTGACAGTGCGCGGCGTCGTGTTGTCGGCATCATCAAAGGTCGGATACTGACCTGTCAAAGAAATTTTGCAGCTATTCGGAAGCACAAGGTCAAGATACACGCGCCGACGGCTTCTATTGATATCACATACAATCGTCGCCGCCGCCGTGCCTCACGCACAAAATTTGACACTGTTTGATTGCCGACATGTTCCAAAGAATAAAATAAGTTTTCAGGTGCTCAGCATGGACACGAATACATTATGCTGATCTCGCAAGGAATATTGTAATTAGATAATGGTAAGGATAGGTAGATATCATAATAATTTATTCTAGTAATTTTTTTTATAGGATAGGGTGACAAACGAGCACATAGTCCACCTGATGGTAAGTGGTTACTGTGGCCCATGGACATCCATCATTGTTTGCGAATCAAAATGCAGATGCGTTGTCACCCGTAAAGACTAAGATGGAATGCCTCTTTTCCAGTAAAAAGGGTCTCCGGTTCTCTACACTCACCGTACGCAACATAGCAGTGTTAAGCTGCTATTTTACGCTGATATTCTGTATGAGCGTGTTCCTTCCCCGGTCGAGCCGACCCATTCGTGCTACAACTATACTACTAATATAGCTGCAGCCAAAGACGTATTAAAAAGATAGACAGGTTACACACTAACATTATTGTATTTTAAAGTAGCGCAGGTAGTACTATATCTACGTACAGTTATTTATTATGACACGTTGCGTTAACAAAAAGAGACAAATGATAGGGCATACCTATCGTTAGAAAAAGATGAATATACATCATAAGTTGAGTATCGATTGCTGCCGAGCGCTCATTGGTGCGAGCGCGTGACATACCGATATGGAAAATGAACACATTAGCTAGCGTGAAAGTTTACGCTAGCGGTTAAGTGTTGAAATAATAAAACCAATTATGAACATCTATAATCAAAATATTAATAAGACGTTTTTCTTGTCTCTAATAGTTGCCGTGTAATTTGTGCACCACTTAAAAACACATGAAGGCATTGTTGCTACGAATAACTAGAAGATTTACGCGCTGTAGCGAAGGTACAGCCGCGACGCGAGAGCGTGCCCGACTGAATGCGAGTCGGGCAATTACCTGACTTTCGTATTGCCATTTTAGAGCGGGTACGAACATCTTAGGCTGCAGCAGGGCTCTACCACGTTACTATATGGGCTTATAATAATTACTTACTATTATTATTATTACCTAATAGATAAACATGTTCAATAAGTTCACCGCAAATATCTTTAAAATACCGTCAAGTACCCGAGCAAACCAGCCCCCATAAGCAGCACCTGTTCCACAGCACCACAAGTACGACGTCAAGTCATAAGTATTTCCGAGTAAGCTGTACCAGTACACCCCGTTCCCCCACTTAGCTATGCCCATGACATTCACAACAGTACAATTAGACTCGTAAATAAACAATTTCGCTCCCGACTTCACTCGGGAGCCTGACACTGGTTATTTGGTTAAATCAAAGGCTTCTATGTATACTACAAGATGAGCTCTGCGGCCTTAATACATTGCTCACTAAGTTACGGTCAATTCTCCACAACTCCTTTAGTCGATTGTGCGCGGTCGAGAAGACTAGTTCTTTGTTTTGTGAACCGGGAGCGCTATTCGAAAATTTAACACTGATTTTCTTTAATGTGTGACTAAGAAAACGCTGTCCTTATTTATGTGCGCACTTTGTCAACTTTAAAGTTTATTTCATTTAAGAGAGTTTTATTCTAGAAATATACAATATTTTATCAATATTAAAAAACCATAATAAAAAACTAAAAGTAATAACTTCATTATCATACAGTCCTACTCCCAGTGGTATCGTGCCAAGAATGCTGGCTGTGTATATATATGTGTCTATATTTAGCCTTTGAGCTGGAAACGAACCAGCCGTCTTATCACCAGCAGCAACGACCAGGCGCGGGTACAGTTCCTTTAGGAACTTCACCGAACGTGGATCCCACGGACCGATAGTCTCTACAGCAAATGGCACAAATATGTAGTCATCTCTCAGACTCATATTTGCGTCGCTTACTCAGGTTTA